GTTGGGGAGCTATTCAACTTATAAATTATTTGAAAAGCCAGTTTAGAAAACCAAAAGTGAAGTACTATAAATTCGCTTATGAAAGAAAATTGATAAAGGTTAAGAACTAGTCTTGGTGTTTGTACTGAATTGTGTCTGTGAGTTTAGAAGGATTGATGAATTAGATATTTTTTAAATCAATGACCTAAAATGTTTTGATGTTTTTCTTTAGAGCTTTTTTTTGGGGGGGAGCAGTCTCCCAACTTCACCTTGATGCACCACAAGCATGTGCTCGAGCACATTTATGGTTCTCCCTCTTAATAATAGGTCCTTCAAATCTCTTGTTTACATTTCTGTTTGAGGAAAATATCTTTGCTCTTCAGTCAAGTTTTTCAGACAGAATAAACTTTTAGTAGTTTAATTTAAAAGTTCATCTTGGTTTCTATTAGCCTGAATTGTTTCTGAGGTTTGAATGTTTTGCCTTGTGTGTCTGATGTCCACCCTCTCTTTACTGAATGTTGTCTGTGCTGTAATGTACTCATCTGTCCATTCTTTTGTTAGTCCCTGAAGTTGTTGTGTTTTGTTTCTAAAGCTCTTAAGCGTCCATAGTGTCTGAACACCCTCAGTTGTAAACCAGAGTAATAATAATTGTGAAGCACAATAGGAGATAGACTTGCTGTGTCTCTCTTAACATCAAAGAGGCTGGTGTTAGATTCAGGGCATTGGTGGCTTTGTGGGTGTGTTTGTGTGCACATAGTAGTCAGACGGAGCAGCGATCCAAAGGATATGAGGGTGAGACTGTGGCAAGTGTGGACTAGGTCATGGAATGAATCCTGGTAGCTGTAAACGGCTCAGTTTCTCAATGTGCTTCCTGTTCTGTTGTAGAAACGCCATTATTGCCTCTTTGCTAATTACCCCCTTTACCCACACCACCCAGCTTGTTGTGCTGTTGATTCTCCGCCTTCATGCGTTCTCTCTCCTGCCTTGCTTTGATGATAGGTCACATCTTCAGTGATAAAGCTTGCACCTTGTGGGAAGATGCTTTGACAAGTGAGCAAACTCGGCCTATCAAATGCTTTGAGAACAGCAGAAGCTGCCACCTGTCTGATTGCTCCACCTTTAACTGTAGTTTGATAATGTCAATAAAACTCCTACATCAACTGTGTGGTTGCCATGGTTTTAGATTTGAAGATTAACTCCACAGAGGCTTTGTGTTGCTCTCAGCTTGAACGTAACTTTTTAATCCTAGCAAGGATGTGCATTTCTAAGTCTACTATCATCAAAGAGTGGCACTTAAGCAGTTGGTTGTATTTTATATGCATGTATGTGTACATCAAGGATGGTTTAACTCATCATTTTCTTTGCAATCAGCAGCTACAAGCACATTAATGGACATTATCTCCATTTAAGCTGTCTGAATGATGGTCATCGGTGTTGGCAAAATGTCAGTAACCTGCTCTGTGTTTTACATTCGAGACACTTCAGTTCTGATTAATTCAATATATTCATTCTAATTTGTAATGTTTTAAGAGATTGAGAATTGGTACTGCAGCTTGTTTCATTTTGAGTCTTCACTAAGAGCTGTGTGTGTGTGTGCGTGTGCGTGTGTGCAGATCTGTAGACGAGTAACCCGACACCCTCCTCTTCCTCATTCTTAATTCTTGAGAGTAGGCCTCTTGGACCCTTGGATTAAAAGCAGAAACACCCCTCTTCATTGGTCACGTGAACCCCCGGGGCCTTGGGGCTGTTGCTATGGAAAAAGAGTACGTCTCTGGATGGGGAGGAGGGTGGGATTGCTACAATGACATCGCTCTTATGACTGAGAGAATGTGGAGAAATGGAGACTGAGCCTAATGGGTTTATTTTTTATAGATTAGAAGGTTTGATTAATCCGCTGAAATACACTTAGTAATACTGGATGGTGTATATGTAGCATGTCTAGAAGTCATCCCGATGTCTGAAACGTAACACTAAATCTGATTATTAAAGAGACAATGTGTAGTTTGTACCATTAATCTCTGGAAATATTCATCAAAACGTTTTTGAAAATTAAATAAATGATGTACAGTTGTTAAATAATGTTGGCAGCTTCGTAACATAACCATAAAAATCGGGTCTAAATGACATAAGAGTGGGTCTAATGGTGGTTTTCCAGGAGCACTACTCAGCCTGAAACTGCTCTATACACACCTGGAGAAGGCATTCTACCTTTTTGAATTCAATCTGACGAAGTGCTCATTTGAAATTTTGCTCCCTGGGATTTTTTATCCCAATGGCCATCTGTTAGTGAGGTCTTACTTGAACACAAAAATACCACTTGCTTGCAATGATTTAGGCACGCACTGGCCTCTACTGCCAGGGAGAATACATGTTGTCACTTTAAATACTCTTGTGCCCAATAATTTACCATGTAAGCAAACTAAACATGCTGAGTTGCATTTCTATTACCTAAATCTTTGTTTTACTGCCTTTTTTCACCAATGAATAATTATATTTCAGCAGTGATGTTGGTAAAATTAGCATATTGACTCAAGCGATCCATTAATCTTTATTTATATGCTGAGGTTTGTAAATTGGGAAAATGCAACATATTTTTAGTTGGAGGAAAAAAGCTGTGAAACTCCTGATTTATTACTTTTTCCTGATTGTGGGCGATGGTTAGCCTAGTGAACTAGACCAAATTCTTGCTTTGCAAAGTTTGGTCTAGGCATGCTCCATTGGAACCTCCGCAGCTCCTACCAGGACTCTGGCTAGCCAATCACAGCTCTCTAGAGGGGTTTCAAACACATAAAGAGCTGTGATTGGTCCATAATGGTGGGCCAGTCATAGTGCTCTATCTGCTTAGTGAACAAATCACAGAGCTTTATCTGCTTTGTGGGCCAATCAGGGCACTCTATATGCCTGGTGGGTGGGATGATGCAACAGAGTGAAACAAGAGTATGTCACATTCATTGTCCAGTGGAATGTGGAGATCATTTGAAAGACAACGGTAGAACCCGCCCCACAACCGAGAGCCGTCAATGGAGCATGGCCAGACTAAATAATACATTTATTTAGTCTGGCTTGCCAGGCTAGGTGATGGTGGCACAGGAGTCAGTCTGTCGCTGTGTCCTTGGGCAAGACACTTAACCCACCTTGCCTGCTGGTGGTTGTCTGAGGGACCGGTGGCGCCTAAGTAAAGCAGACTCGCCTTTGTCAGTGCGCCCCTGGGCAGCTGTGGCTACGATGTAACTCATCACGACCAGTGTGTGAATTCATTCATTCATTCAAACTTTATTTCAGACAAGGGATATGTCCATAACAAGAATAAAATAAAAGTAAAAACACATTCTAATTACAAACCATATAGGCAGTGGTTCCAATGTTTAAAAAGGACTGAGGAGTACCTCGTGTCACTGTAAGTTAACGATGACAGTGCTCTAACAACAGTGTTAGCTGACAAACTCAGTCGGCAGATGAATTTATACATGAAGAGCCTCAGAAGCGCATGAAAAGTAGGGATGTTACTCACAACAAACATGTGACTACGTTTACATGCAGCCAATATCCGGGTTATGATCGGGTTCAGGTCGGTATTCGGGTTTCTGAGTTGATCAGAATAACCCGTTTACAAGCAAATAGAAAGAGTTACCCCTAACTTGCATAACCCGATTTAAATGCGGACGTTGGGGTAGTGTCAGGACGTATGGACTACGTCCAGACGCAATATGCGTCAATTCCGGTTCTTCTTGTTCCGGTATCCGTGAAAACAACAACATGTTTCCCAGTTCGGAAGAGATAGCGACCGCGTTTGTTTGTGCTCTAGTTTCCTCGTCACTCCAAAAGTGTGGTGCTGTGCCGCGACTCGCCATGTTTCTCCCAACTTGTTGTTTACTTCTGGTGTTCTGGTGCATACAAGACGTCTCGCTACTCAAAAGACCAAGATTCCTTGCGAACAGAGCATGTGCAGAACACACGCTTTGATGGGGATATCCCGGTATGCGTTTACACGACCAGACATTCGGGTTAGAAAAGGGTTACCCCAGGTGTAGTAACCGGGTTTTAAAAACCCGGTTATGAGCATATCCGGGTTTTTGGCGGTGTTTACATGGACCTGCGGAACCAGGTTATTGTGAATATTCGGGTTTTAAAAGGGTTACTGGCTGCATGTAAATGCATTCATATAGTTGCACCACAAGTGGGCTGTATAGAGAGGATTACAAAAGGAACGAAAGAGGGACACTTTAACAGGATCTGAGCACATGCCAAAGTTTCGTGCCAGAGTGTTTAGCCTGCATGTACAACTTACCGCATTGCCTCTTAATATCCTCGTCATCACAGAGGTCACTTCTTAAAATGTGCCCCAAGTATTTCACTTTGCTTACCACTTCGAGGACCTGATTTGTTAAGTTAAAAGATGGAAAATTAAGCTTCAGGTCCCCTTTAGTAGCAGCAATCATAACCACACTCTTTTTAGGGTTAAACAGGATGTCAAATTGCTCACCATACTTAGCACATGCTCTGAGCAGCTGCTGCAGGCCTGCGCTATAGGGAGACATGAGGACTAGGTCATCTGCATATATTAAATGATTTACAAGGCGGTCACCCACCAAGCATCCAGTCTTACTATCATTCAGAGTAACAGACAGCTCGTCATGGTACAGGTTAAAAAGGACAGGAGACAGAATCCCACCTTGTCTGACTCCATTCAATACAGAGAAAGGTTCAGACACTTCTCTGTGAATGTGTGTGTGAATGACTGATTGTGATGTAAAGCGCCTTGGGGGGTTCCAGGACTCTAGAAGGTGCTATATCAAATACAGGCCATTTACCATAGTCAAAATGATTCAAATGTTGAGTATTTGCTTGGTTAAGGGTTTCCAGAATGTCGATTGTTTTTGTTTACTTTCTTTAGAATTGGAGACTAAACCACAACAGTGTTTAATTTGTTTCTCTGGATCTTTTAAAGCTTGTTACTTTCTAGCATTATAAATGAATGAAACCACCCTTAACAAGTCTTGACTTCCTTTACTCTTTGCTAGGTAAATTTGAGGAGAAGGAGGACCGGGTTCCCAAACTGGAACAACTTAACTCCCTGGGCTTTATGTGCAGCCTGAATCTTGTTCTTAACAAGAGAGATCTGATCAAAATGGAGCTTTTGCTGCTGGAGACCTTCGGCTGGAACCTGTGCATGCCCACGCCCGCTCACTTTATTGACTACTATCTCCATGCGGCGGTGCAGGAGGGCGACCTCTACAACGGTTGGCCACTGTCCTCCATCTCCAAGACCAAGGCTTTCATGGACAAATACACTCATTACTTCCTGGAAGTGTCTTTGCAGGGTGAGTTTAGAAAGAAGACTGTTTAAGTTTGGTCAGAGTTGGATACGTGATGTTGTTTTTTTACATTTTCTTGTAGATCATGGCTTCCTGAATTTCAGACCATCCCAAGTTGCTGCTGCTTGTGTGGCAGCATCTCGTATTTGCCTTCAGATTTCTCCAAGCTGGACCACTGCTCTTCATCTGCTAACAGGGTACTCCTGGGACCACCTCACCCAGTGCATTGAACTCATGCTGCTGTAAGTCGCACCATTAAACACAACAATGTCCTTAATTATGAGTCTTTCTTTATAATAGACCCATCATCTTTTTATTTGCCAGTTGTGAATTTTATCTCACCCATTCCTGTAAGCAGTTGAGGCTTTCCAGCATGTGTGTCTTCACACAAAGACTGTTCAGGTGTAGCGGATAGCTTCAGATTTGTGTCGTTAAACAACCATAATTAGCTTGTGAAACTAGTGCTGAGTCAGCTGCAGCTCGTGTTAATCTGAGTAGTTGTTTGCACATGTTCAAATTATTGGTCTGGGAGTCAAGAGGGTGGTACAGAGTAGTCTTTGTTCTACTAATGGATCTATTTTAAGCCCAGGCCACACTGTGCGTTTTTCGGCCGTCCTAGACAAATCTGTCGTCGTGAAAAGCATCGTGACAAAAACCGTTGAGCGTGAGGGTGATTTGCAAGTCTGTGGCCATCCAGTGTGATTGGCTCTGCGACAGCTTATTGAGCACCCTCATGACCAAAGTTAGCCTCCAACAGTCTTCAAGCACTACTTAAAAACCTATGACTCATGTTTGCAATTGACCAATGAAAATACACCCAGGGAGTGATGTGGACAACTAGCGATGAGAGTACAGTACGAGAGTAGAATTGGCAACAGTGGAAGCGGTTTGGAACAGAAGTGTTAACAGCAGCACTTTTTTCTTTTCAGCTTTGTTGTTTTGGTTAGCTGTCGGTTTTGAGAGATGTACGCTTTCAGGGGGTGTGTGGGTGTGTGTGTGCTTGTGAAGTTAGTGTCCTGCTAGAACAAGTCATTGTGCAGTTTGGCTCACTGGACCGTACAGTGTGCCACAAGCAGTCCTGTGCAACAGCCGAAACACACAATGCCCCCCCCCCCCCCCCCCATTAGTTTTATGTGCTATCTATTAGTATCTGTTTTCCCATCATATACATTTTGTCACTGGGTGGTGTTCATATGAACGAACACACACACACACACGCACGCACGCACGCACACACACACACACACACACACACACACACAGAAAGGTGGTTACATTTGTGATTTATAGTTGCCTTGCTTTCATATCTGACTTGCTTTATTCTCTTTGCTGTGGTAATGACAGAGCTCATGACAACGACGTGAAAGAGGCCAATAAAACCAAATCCACCCCCCCTCACCGGCCCACGTCTCTGCAGTCCCAACCCCAGACTTCTCACCTCTCTCCAGTGTCGGCCATCCAGAGACCAGCATCCTCCAACACCTCCTCCACACCACAGTTGCTCTTTCAGCCCGACGGCTTCCCTCACCTCTCCCAGCATTCCCCGTCCCTGTCTCAGCTGCAAGTACTCGCTGACTCTCAGGTTTTGGGACCAGTAGTAAACATGTCTCAGGACTTCCTTCAGAACCACAGGGTGGGTCTGCTAACGGGGGCGCCCTCCATCACTCCTGGTGGAGCATTCCCTTCCTACTCTAGTCTTACTTCAGGTCTCCAGCCAGCAGCCCGTGCTCTGCCTCTCCAGGGCCCCATCTCTGTGCAGATGGCCCTTGCAGGAGAACCACGACACTGCCTGAGCATGGCCTACAGTGGTGGCTATCTGGGCTCACATCACACGTTCACTGCTGGTTGCTTTGATAGGTGACGCCAGGAGACGGAGGGGGAAGGTAAACCTTTGCGGGAGTCCACTGCAATGCTTCTGACTTCGATCCCAACCAGGAAACACCCACTTGCAGACCTCCTTTCTCTCTCCGTCGACACGGCGACACCTTCGGTCCTGCCAGCTTCCCCGTCCCGCTCACAGAGACGGCTCAAACGCAAGCAGAGGTTCAAAGGCAAAACGGATCCGGTGGAAGTCATCACACTGACGTGACAAATGCATAACTGCCTCATAATAAATACTGAGGCACAGCAGACATTTTACCGCCATATACTGAACAGAGTCTATAAATCTGTTATTATGAGACTGTCATCACTGTGAATGAGATGAAAGCAGCAGTGTGATCATACACCCACCTCATTCAGTGCCTGTTCTCAGTTGTGTGTGATCGCTGAGCCAGTTTTAGAAATGCACCGAACACCAAGTATCTGGTAAGCCCATCTTGCTGCTTGATGTTTTGTTTCTAGTTCTCATCCCAAAAACGTAACACATTTCATAGAAAATTTAATTTAGATCCTTTTTTTAATCCAAGCTCTCATTTGACTAAAGATTGAAAATGGCCCGTTGCTTATTTTGAAGAGCTTAAAGAGCTGTTTGCCAGTGGAATTTATTTCTCCTAAAAATCTGCAAACATCTGATGTAATGAGCTGAAAGGCTCCTCTGGGGACTCCTCACAACACAGGACCCCAGCAGAGACCAAGGATTCATTGTTTAGTTCACAGCAGGCGATGTTCATGGCTCAAACAGGCCTGCAGTGTTCACTTTTGCATTTCCTTCTCTTTTATTTCCAAAGTCGAGCCTTGTGACAGAATTCACACACACAGATGAAAACGTGGCTCCTCGTATACGTTTGAGACTCCAGCACCACACAGATGGGTGTGACTGAACCAGCACGGTGGAGGAGATACGGACGTTGGTTGTGTGTTGAACATACAAAATGCTGCTGCCTTTAAAATAGTTGGTTCTGTATCTGTGTTAATGACTCCCAATGTTTACATGAACCATGATCAGGGACTTGATCAAGATTACTTGAATACGATGCCATTGAAACATGCCATAGCTTTTATTTATGTCTTTTTGTTCTTATTTTATTCATAGGTTTTGTTTGAAATAGTGTAGCTTTTTATACCAACGTAGGAACCCACTATTAGTTAGGTGTAGTTTTGTTTTTGTAGAAACTAATGCTCAGGTTCTAAGGCGGAAGTTTTCTTCCTTTTCCTTCATTGTTCTGTGTTCATGGTGCTTTAATGTAGATGCTAATGCAGCATCTGTGGGGGCTGCAGTATCCCCCTCGTCACTGGACTCTTCTCTGTGGTTATCATAGGTCTCACACATAAACATCCACAGCCAGTCATCTGTAATTGCTTCCCAAATTTACAAAGCTGCAATCCCCGATCTTCTAAACACGACTAGGTTCTTGGTGCTGATCACAGGGTTACCCACTGGTTGTCAAGGTGATGCTTTAAACATGTGGACCTCAAGGTTAGCCTTGTTTTGACTGGATTAGGGCTGCAGTTAATCTCCAAATATCAATACAAAAATACAATGTAAATGTCAAAGTTCTTCTGTCAAGGTTTGATAAATGAACCAGATTAATAGACTAAACTTTCTAGTTTTAATGAAAATAAAAAATTAAACGAACCAGTTTTAAATGAATGTTTGGGCCCTTTTGAAGTATTTTCCTGTGAAAAAGTTCTGAGCGTTAACGATCCTAACCACGTTTAGATGCAGCTCTCTGCTTGGAGAAACCGAGTTCTAACGTCTGATGAGCTAACGGCTACTTCAAGCTAGTGTGGATATCGTGGTTCCAGACGTGACCTCTGGAGGCATCAGATTGTTGTTGCTGTTGGGGATGTTAACGCCTTTAACTGTACAGCAAAGTAAAGGTTTCTCACACATTTTACACTGATTGCAGCCCATTGATGGCAGCAGTGCACTTTGGTCTTTGCTGAGCATCAGTTAGCCTTCAGTTTATTATTCCTGTATGGACTAAACTCTGTTTCTCCAAACAGAGGCTGTTCAGGAAGCTGTCTTATTGTTGTAACTGAAACCCCTCAGAACGACTCAAAAAAATCCCTTCGAGTGCTGTAAGAAACACCAGTAGTTAAAATCTTCAGGCTGGTTTAACACACTGTTGTGTATTGTTGACACTGGACATCCCCGTCGTGTTTGTGCCTTGCTCTCAGCAGCTCTCGTGCTTCACGTGTGACCCTTCTGTTCCAGCACCGCTCAGACAGCACTACATGAAGCCTCACCTCCACATAAACACCAAACCCATACAGCTGATGTGTTTACATCAGAGTCTATGCTTTTCTAACTTTGTGTATTGTTTCATTATTTCCTACATTCCCTTTGTTCCAATTATGTTTTAGTCCGATATCTTTCATGGTGGTGATTTGTACACGTTGTTTTTGAAGTTGGCTCTTTTCCTCATATTTCAGGAGCAGCTTCAGATCGAGGGTGTCAAAGGTGCAATAAGATGTTTTTGTTTTGTGTTCCTCCCTGACCACAACCGTTACCGTTCCACCACTTCCTCTCTTGTAACTTATTTTTGATCAACGTGTAGTTTGACTTGATCTCCTCTGAAAGGCAGTAGACTGGATACGGTGATTATGCTGCATATTGCAGCCACAAGCTAGGAGTGATGATACTGATGTGTTTTTAGAGTTTCACGGCGCCTTTTTCCTCCTCCGGACCATAAGTGGTGCCGATGCCACTCACACGAGTGCTCTTGTTCTGTTGAAACGCGATAACCATAAGCTTCCTTTTTTTCTTTCTTTTTTGATTCTTTTGTGTAGTCGTGATTTATGTGACACTGAATGATGAATTGTTTTATCACAGTGCCGTGAAAGAATAAACACACAAGTGAGCTGAGATTCAGAGTGGTTTTTTTTTAGTGAAGAGCCTGAAGCCTTAGGGAGCATTATGCTTTTCCCTTCATTGCTCCTGTTGGTTTAATGGGAAGACGATCCAGCATCTCGTGCAGGTTTTATGTGCAGACTTCCCAATGTGACCACATGCTGTTGATTCAACACCATTCACTAAATCCTATTGGAATGTAAACAGGCTGATTCACTCCTAGTTTTATGGCATTTCAATTTCATGGATTCACTTACAGAGCTTTGCTTGAACCTCCCGAGTTTATAGCAAATTTAATTTAATTCGGTTTATTTTTTAAGCATCCACTCAAAACAAAAATCACCTCAGAGAAAAACAAGTCCACATTCAACCTTACAGTAAAGGGCCAGGCCAGTTGTCATCGCTGGAAGATGAAGTTAATGGAACCCCAAAATGGACAGAAGATTATGGTCAGGGCTAGGAATGAGCAGCTTTAACCATTTTAAAAATCATTCGTTCCTAAGTGTGGACGAGGAATCTGCGTCATGGATGAAAGCTAGAAGCTGGCTCAGCAGGTAAGAAGAACTGAAAGCTTTGCCTCTTGTTCTACCTTTAAGAAAAAAAAAACATCCAGTAATCATGCCTTGGAATAATGAAATGTTCCCTGCATCAAGATGTCCTTAATGAGTAACTAGAATTTTATCGGATTGGGGACTAATCAGTTGAATGGAACTGATGCAAAGACTGCGACTGATGTTCTCTACAGGGATTTTTTTTACAACTATTGCTAATTTCCAACCTTTGTCCTTATCGAATGTTTACATGAACACTATAGTCACAAAAAACATAGATAAGCTAATCTACAGAATGCTGCACAGAAACACATGTACATAACTGCACAGTAGGTTTTTGTTCCAATAGAGAACGGTTGTCCTATAGTAGCATGTTTGATATGAGTCCAATTACTCATCCTGGTCTAGAATACACCAACATGATCACTGAGGGCCAGTTCCTCCATGTCTGCGTAAGTCCCTTCATATAATGAGTTTAAATCATAAACATTTAGTTGAATTATCCCGTTTAATTTGTATTTATGGGATGATAAACAAAACATCAGCTGTGAAGAGTTCAGCCTCTGCTGATGCTGAACTCCACCTCCACAGCTCACTTACAGCCTTCTATGTTGTGACACATTCGGCCCACTCTGAGATGGGACACGTCTAACACTTAAGACTTTATGCTCCAGTATAATACTGTCCACACACACACGCACACACACTCCAGTATAATACTGTCCACACACACACATACACGCACTCACACACATTACATGAACCCACAGAAATCACTGAGCTTTGGCTTTGCTGCCTCCAAAACATTATAAAAAAGACAGTAGCAGAGCAATGACCTGAGGAACAAATGACTCCCCCCCCCCCCCCCCCACACACACACACACAGCTGATTCTTTATTCAAACTAAAGTTTGCTTATCAAATCCTTTTAAAAGACTATGACAGCTAGTGATCCCTCCTTGTTTCAGCTTTGCTCAGTTTTCTACAAACCGCTTCAGGTTTTGTGTGATTCTGTGGAGCTCAGGTATAAATTGCTCCTTTGAAATGCAAACAGATTTTTCTGTTATATTTGAGGAATAATGACTCTGAGGTCCATTAGAAAGCCTTTGGGCATGCAGGTGGAGCACTCAGGTGGATTATGAGTATGTTTAGAACCATCATGATGCCTTGGCTTTGAGGGCTCTGGTTGGTTTTTCTACACAAATGATTTATAAGCATCCAGATTCTGTTACCATTTAGTGCAACCTTCCCTTTTAGAAATAAAATGTTCCTCCTCTCACGGGCTGCAACATGGAGTTCACATAGATAGTTGGAGAACTTACTTTTAATCACAAGCTAAGCAAACAGCTTTCTAGTGATTTCCTGCTACATGTGAGTCTTTTTTTCATATAAAATGCTCAGGTGTCAGCAGGTCACAGGAAACAAACAATGCTCTCATCTTGATTGGAAAATGGTCTTATCCGTTGTTATGTCATGTGTTCTTCACCTCAGTGACAAAAAACTAGGATGGTAGCTAAACATTTACACAGAATCAAAAATTCTGAACATCGTCGTGCACATTCATTGGATCACATCTACTTGATGGGATGAAATTAGCACCTGAAGTTACAGAATCCCCCCAAAAATGACTGAAGTTTTTTTCCCACCCAGCGGACAATCTGTAAATAAAGAGGTGGAGGAACCAGTGACTGTAGAAAAGAGGTACAGAGAGGGGTGGGGGTGGGTTGATCATGCTTCAGGCTATCCCGCTGTAAGCTTTTGTGTTCAGAGGTAAGGAGGGAGGGTCTCCTTGAGGGGTAATTGAAAACAAACAATATTGGGTGGGGATGTGGAGCACTACTTGGTGTACAGGTGGAAATTGGTGGACGTATCTACTTAAAATTTAACTATCTGTTGTTTTAGATCAGATGCTTTATATTTCCTTAAGGATGGTATAATAAAGATTGTTTAAATACTGCAGCAGGACAATAAAGTGGAGGAAGTAGATATTTCTATTTGTGATTATTTGACAAAATATATTTATTATTAATAATAAATCATCATCATTGCATTAAATTAGATTTGTGTATTGAAGTTCTTTGTAGACTTTTAGGATGTTATAGGGTCCCTGGAGTATCAGGGTAGGATAATGTTTTTTGTTAAGGACAGGAGCGCCCTCTAGTGACCAAGACTGTTGGTCACCTTTGGTCAGACTACTGTACCTAAACGTTGTTCCACTTCTGCCCAATAAAAGCTCAAACGCACAGAAGCTTTCTGCAATTACCAAGTTTCTCAGTAGTCTCGCCAAATTAGATCTGCATTTTATTAAGTCTCTCTCTCTCTCTCTCTCTCTCTCTCTCTCTCTCTCTCTCTCTCTCTCTCTCTCTCTCTCTCTCTCTCTCTCTCTCTCTCTCTCTCTCTCTCTCTCTCTCTCTCTCTCTCTCTCTCTCTCTCTCTCTCTCTCTCTCTCTCTCACACACACACACACACACACACACACACACACACACACACACACACACACACACACACACACACACACACAGTCCATTTTGTATATTATGTGTAACTCATTGTGTGATTTGAATCAATCAAGCTTTATTTATAAAGCACTCTACACACATGGAGTGACCACAGTGCTGCACATAGTAGAACTAAATCATTAACAAAAACAATGCCAGCAATAAAAGATAAATAACAATAAAACACATATTTAAGTGTTAAAAACACTCTGAGGACTTCTGCTCATTCTGTATTAAAAGCCAAGCTAAAAGATGGGTCTTTAAAAGAGACTTCAAATCAGCAGCGTCCAGTTCCACAGCTTGGGAGCAACAGCTGAAAAAACTCTGTCTTCCTGGGTCACGGGGCGAGTCCTGGGAACTTAAGAGAGCAGCTGGCCTTCAGCTGTCTGAGTAGGCGCTCTGGTAGGTCTGAGGGTGCCTGACCACTCAGACATTTAAAACCCAAGATTATAATCTTAAAATCAGTCCTAAAACATACGTACAGCCAGTGCAGTGAGGACAGGATAGGGGTGATGTGATTGCATTGTTTGCGACCTGTTAGTACACGGGCAACATCGTTCTGGACAAAGCTGTGGGCGCCACACGTGAGAGTTTTCCCTAAAACTATCAGCTCAGTTTCGTTTTCATTCATTCAATTACATCCAAGCTTTAATGTCAGCTAAACAGCTGACCTGATTTAGAACCATACTACCGGTCGATCTCAATGGGAGGTAAATTTACAGATTATCCGCAAGGCAATGGAAGGGCAGACCACACTTTCGAAGGATCGACCCCCGGGGAATCATAGATGGAATAAAGTACCAACATTATTCTTATGGCCCGTCAGACTTTCAGCAAAAGATGGTAGCAACTTCCAGTCTGAGTTAATTTATGTTGAGATGATGCAGTCCCTCTGTGCAAATCCTCCTTTTATGAGCTTTTACAGATGAAAATGTGTAAACACCAGCTGTCAAAGGTCAAACTCCTTCTGCCTACTGAGCCAGAGGGGTGGGAGGATGATCTTAAAATCTGGCCAACGCTAATGAGTGGAGTGGATTGCTCCACTTGCTGCCACCTCCCCTTGATTATGGAGCAAGCCAATCAGAGCCCTGTTGGCCTCCTTTAAAAGACTCACCAGGGCAGGCGTGTTTAGGCTTCTGATTGCTGTTACTCCGTCAGTCTTTTGATTACTGCCATCCCATCAGCATAGGATGACTACTCCCTTCCTTCCACAAGCTGAGGAGGTTGGTGGAGTTTGGGCCTTCTCTGTCTGCCCCAAGTAACGCATAAGGAGGGGGCACAAGTAACGCATAAGGAGGGGGCACAACTGAGGAGCAGCCAGCTTTGGACAACGCTCATGGAGCCATTGGCGGAGGCGCATACCGGGACACAGGAGCCACCGTGGCAGGCTAGGATGGCGCTGGGATGTCTGATGGACGGCGAACTAACAGCATTGATCTGCCAGAGCTGTGGGACCAAAAGGCGCTCTGTTGTGACTGAAACCTGCGGAGAGACTATGTTTATCGGCTGGCCAGGGAATTCCCTGGGATTACCCCCTAAGATCTGGCCCAAGTGGCTGGGGAGAGGGAAGTCTAGGCCTTTATGCTTTGGGAGTGACCCGGCCCTGGATAAGCAGATGAAAATGGATGGATGGATGGTAAATGGTCTGTATTTGTGTAGCGCCTTCTTAGGGTTCTAAAACCACCCGAGGTGCTACACAACACAATCAGTCATTCACACGCACATTCTCATGATGGATTGATGGATGGAAAGCTCCAGTAATCTGTCTGGGAATGATCTGCAGCTCAAGTTGAAGTTGGAATCTTTTATAATTGATCTATTTATGAACAGAAGCTGACAGAAGTTTTAGTCACTGACTGTATCTATACATGTGAAATGTTTTAAAATATCTTACTGTTTCACATTTTGAGGTAAACGCGTGGCTTATTTAGCACAAGTATGAGCAAAGTTCCGGGTGACACAATGCTTGGGGGAGTCACATGATGAGGTGAGAAAAGAGGCAGGTTTGAAGATTTTAGCCACTCCTTCCTCAACTCAAAACTCCTTCCTCGTGTCCTCTCTCCTCAGCTTTCATCATGTCATTCTCTGGGAATTATGAGCTTGAGAGTCAAGAGAACTATGAGGAGTTTTTGGAAGCAATTGGTATGATTTTTCCGTTTTCGATGGATCTATCAGTAAACGTTTGAGATCGATTGATTTTCTTGTACTGTGAGCTGTTTGCCTTCTTTCCAGATTTTCTCAAAGCCAAGTCTGCTGAGAAAATGGAGATTCGAATAATTCAGGATGGGGAAAATTTCGACTGGCTTCAGTTTACCAAATCCTGGAAATGGACCAGTGAGTTCACCTTGGGAAAGGAATGCGAGATGACATCCATTAAAGGCAGCACGTTCACGGTGAGTTAGCAGCGTTCCACTCAAAGACATGATCATTTACCTTTTCAAATTCTCACTGATAAGGGCTTTTGAATAATTTTCTGACATTTAGGCTCATCCAAAAATGGAAGACGGGAAGATTCTGGTGGAATTCCCAGAGTACAGTTTCTCAGCTGAGCTGGTTGATGATAAACTTCTACTGGTGAGAAAACCCAACAGCATGGTGTGACCCGAGTTAAATTTTTCATTTTCTGATCCTAGATGACTTTTCCTTCTGTTTTCTGCTCCTAATCCTGCAGACTTCTGTGACTCGGGGAGAAAAGGGAGTGACGTTTAAAAGATGTTTCAAGAGAATCTAGTGTTGCAAGACTCAACATGTTTCAGTGAAAAAAACAGCTCGTTCCTGGACTAAATAGACCATCTAGACTGCAGTGAAAATGAAATTACATCACTTTATGTAATTATTGCATCACAAGACACAAGAGTTCTGTTGTTGTGGGTTCTGCATGAAATTTTACAGAAGTGATTAAATTATTCAAAGTCTCACATGATCAGCAGATCTGGTTTCATAACTGATCCATTAAATACGGCAAGTCACTGTTTAATTATATTCTATAACTCTGAAACATAATGAATATTATGTTAGTCTACACAGCTGTTTATTTTAGGTCTTCTCTAAACTTCTTACGGTGATGTATGTGATTTATGTAATTTAACCCTAACCCTACACTGATTTGGTTTCTGTGATGAAATCTTTATGCTGCAGTAAGCTTGGCGACACCACAGCATGACAGGTAGATGATGCTAAAACAGCACACCTATAGTCTGTGATGACCTGCATGTGACGAACATTAGGGGTTGATAAAACACTAAGATCGTTCTCTGACATCCTTTAGCTTAATCCAGCCCGTGTCAGATTACTATGCTTGTGTGGTTCCTGCTCTTTGAAGAAGATCAGACTGAGCATCAGACTGCACGCCTGTTTCCCTTGTATGCAAGGAAAATAAGAAAAAGATTCAAAGACATCCAGAGACCATCTCACTTGTTTATGGAATATGTTTTTCACCACAGTTTCCTTTCTAGTTAAATAAATAAAAATGGGTTTGGTGCTGAAAATGTGACTCTTGGATTTTTGTTAGTAAATAATTCTACATAAAAGATTATGTAAATACTACTACTACTACTACTACTACTATTATAACACAATAACTATACTACTACTATTACTACTACTACTTCTACTACTGCCACTACTACTACTACTACTATAACATAATAACTATACTACTACTACTATTACTACTACTATTATAACATAATAACTATGCTACTACTATTACTACTACTACTACTTCTACTACTGCCACTACTACTACTATAACATAATAACTATACTACTACTACTACTACTATTACTACTACTATTATAACATAATAACTATGCTACTACTATTACTACTACTACTTCTACTACTGCCACTACTACTGCTACTACTATAACATAATAACTATACTACTACTACTACTACTATTATAACATAATAACTATGCTACTACTACTACTACTACTACTACTACTTCTACTACTGCCACTACTACTACTACTACTATAACATAATAACTATACTACTACTACTATTATAACATAATAACTATGCTACTACTATTACTACTACTACTTCTACTACTGCCACTACTACTACTACTACTATAACATAATAACTATACTACGACTACTACTACTACTACTACTACTACTACTACTACTGCTACTACTGTTACTACTACTACTACTACTACTACTACTACTACTACTGCTACTGCTGCCACTACTACTGCTACTACTATAACATAATAACTATACTACTACTACTACTATTACTACTACTATTATAACATAATAACTATGCTACTACTACTACTACTACTACTTCTACTACTGCCACTACTACTACTACTACTATAACATAATAACTATACTACTACTATTATAACATAATAACTATGCTACTACTATTACTACTACTTCTACTACTGCCACTACTACAACTACTACTATAACATAATAACTATACTACTACTACTACTACTACTACTGCTACTACTGTTACTACTACTACTAATAATAATAATAATAATAACAATACAATTAATTTAATGGCACCTTTCAAGTCACCCAAGATTGCCTAGATAGTAAAAACAGGATTTAAAATATAGAAACAAGATCATTCACAGTAAAATCCACATGTGCACCTACAAGCAGCTGTTAGTGAGTACTTTCTGGTGAGAGTTGGTAATCAAGTTTGAAGAAGTGGGGTTTGAGTCTGGATTTGATTTGATGGAGATGGAGTCGGGCGGTCTTATGTTTAGGGGAGGCAATTCCATAGTCTTGGTGCCGAGCAGCTGAAGGTGGGCTCCCATGGGACTGAGGTGTGTTAAAAGGGTGTTCAGTAGTCCAAATGAGGTTGAACGGAGAGTGCAGGGGGGTGAGTGTATTCTTGTAAAGGGTTTTGGGGGTAAACAGGAGCTTGTTGGTGGAGCGCTTTGTAAGTGAAGAGGAGGTTTTTGTTGTGGATGCAGAACTGAGCTGGGTGCCGTGAAGTTTGATTAGAATGGGAGGGATATGGTCAGAAGTTTTAGTGGTGGTGACAATCTGGGCGGCTGAGTCCTGAATAATTTGCCTATTGATGAGCTTGATAGGAACTCCATTTTGGAGGGTGTTGCAATAGTCAATGCGAAAAAATGACAGATTAATTAACTAGGTTTGTTGGCGATGAACGAATTCAGGAGATGTAGCAAAGGTGGATGAAGACATTCTTGGTGATATTACAAATACGTAGTGCAAGTGTAAGGGTGTTAGAGAATCACCCCGAGGCTTTTGACTTGTGTGAAGGATTGAACAGGATCCACATCAATGACAATGGGAGGAGGTGGAGCACGTTGGAGTTTGGTCATGCAAGATTTAGATCTGATGACCAGGGCCTCTGTTTTATTGACATTTAATTTCAGGAAGTTCTTGTTCATCCAGCTCCAGGTGTCTTCCAGAGAGTGAGGAGAGTAGGAGGAATTGTGGTGGTGGGTTTAGAAGAGATGTAGAGCTGCATGTCGTTGGCATAGCAATGCAAGTTTATGCCATAGTGCCAAAGAAGTTTACCTAGGGGGAGAATGTAGACGATGAAGAGAAATGGACCCAAAATGGACCCCTGGGAAACCCCGGGCACCCCGGCTTGTGATCTCTTATTTGCACAAATAGTTGGCGTTGGTGATGTAGGACGTGATCCAGTGAAGTGCAATTCCAGGTATCCCAGTGCCAGCCAGATGGTTCAGGAGTATCGTGTGGGAGATGGTGTCAAAAGCTGAAGTTGAGGTCCAGGAGGATGAGAATAGCCAGCAGTCCAGGGCCATCTGCATGGAGGAGATCATTCGTTATTTTACCAAGGCTGTTTCAGTGCTATGTTTAGAACAGTAATAAAAGTTATTAGCATCAAGGTGGAATTGTAATAGTGTGGCAAACACCTTTTCAGGTGTTTTGGAAATGAAGGAGAGGTTTAAGATGGGTCGGTAGTTATTGAGGTCAGATGGGTTGGCACCAATTTTTTTCAGGATAGGTGTGATTGCAGCCAGTTTGAGAGAGAAGGGTAATTTGCCAGTAGTAAGAGAGGAGTTATTTGTGCATGTGATCATGGGAGAAATAGAAGGAGAGCAGGCTAAGGGAGGTGGGAAGAAGATAAAGATGACAAGAGGTGACTTTGCAGAGGAGTTCAGAGATAGCATGTTTTGATCTTGGAGTAAAGTTGGAAAGAGTGCTAATAAGAGGTTGGCCAGCAGTAAACATCCAAGGTGGACCGTTTGTGGACGTGTAAGGTGAAGCCAGCTGTTGGTGACTGATGTTGATTTTAGAGCTGAAAAAATCCAGAAAGGCAATACACTGCTCAGTGGAGATGTCCGGGGGGAGCGTTTTAGGGGGCTGAAGTAGATGGCTGACTGCTGAAAGAAGAATCCTATTGTGGCCAGTGATTGCCGGTGATTACAAACAGCTGGGCACGGGAGACTGGCGAGGCAGAAGCCACTGAGGCCATCTTGTGGCCGGAAAGGGGCAAAACACGTAACAGGGACTTTGCATAGGAAGCGCTGTGAATTCATCAAGGAAGGCAGCAGAGGGATTTGGTGGCCTGTAGACAGAGACGGTGATGGTGGGTATGGGGCCAGTGAGTTTTACAGGAATGATGGAGGACTATGACAGGAGTGACTCTGATGTTATCACATTGAAGAGGAGCGATGCCACCCCCGATACTTGTCATCTCGGTGAGTCCCAGAGTGGGAAAAATTCTTTTATTTACAAACAAACATGGTCTGCTTATGTTTGAAGACATGTATTATATGGTATAAACTATTTTCCATACACGCAGCACAAAGCTCTGCTGCTTCAGACCTTTTCTCTTCACCGTTACTCCTTCTTTCCACAGGAGCCGTCAGCAGCACGTGACTGCAGCAGCACGTCTTGCTTGCATATGCTGCTGCTTGGCCCTTCCCACGAGACGCGAAGCAGCAGGAGAGCAGCTGTCACCGACAGAGCACAAAGTCACACGAGTGACTTCGTCAGTAAACACAATAACAAGCAGGAGAAAATTACAGCATGGCTCCAAAATGTTTGTGTTTTATGTTCAGTCCGTTTTATAATCGCCAATACGGACCTGAAAAACAAAGGAGACCGCTAGCTAGGTGATAACTTCTCAAAGGGCCGCACAGTTAGTAACTTTTTTTTAAAGTAAAGCAACCGGAAGGCAGTACGTTCTTTATTCTGAAAATCTCGGGAGCTTCGCTCCGTTTCCGCGTCCGATTTCCTGTCTTTTCTTCCCCAAAAATGCCGAACTTGACCCGTTTCAGAGGCGTCACGTGTAGAAAATAGGATAGTCCTCGTCTTTTCCGACAGTGCGAGCTATTTCTCTCCAAGAATTATTAACAACATGTTGATCACAGTGATCTCTGAGAGCTGAATCATACAAATGTCTGTATTTACGAACCTCTGCCATACTAGTCCTTGCCTGTCCGCCATGTTTTTCGGCGTCCGACCGTCCGCGTGGTTAGAAATTTTCCTAGGTGCGCGTTGCGGAAATTTTGGGCCGTGCGGAGACGCGGTGGAGGGGCGTGGTTGTTAAAATGATGCAATTTCGCTGCGCGGAGCCGTGCGGACCTCGTGGACCTCATGGACAAGCACCATCTTACATTGGTGATCTTCTTAGTCCCTACACCCCCAGCAGGTCCCTGAGGTCCAGTGATCAAAGCCTACTGGTTGTGCAGCACCAGGCTAAAGACCAAAGGTGACAGATCATTTGCTGCTGTGGCCCCCAGACTCTGGAACTCTCTCCCCCTGAGCCTGAGATCAGTGGACTCAGTGGTCTCCTTTAAAAAGCAGCTGAAGACTCACTTGTTCAAGCTGGCTTTTGTGTGACCTTCTTCAACCCCTCGCTCTTTATTCTGTTCTCCCCACCTATTCCACCTTCCTCAGGATCCACTGATTTCCCTCTTTCCTATTCACTCTCTCTCTTTCTTAACATTTTTTCTTTTAAATCGCAATTGCTTATTCTTGCTCATTTTAAATATATTTTTAAACATTTTCTAAATGCTTTTTATATTTTTACAATTTTTATATTTTTTGTTTTTGTTTTTGTGAAGCGCCTCGTGATTTTTACCTTGAGAGGCGCTATAGAAATTATATTTTCTTCTTCTTCTGCAGTTAGCTGCTGTTGGATTGGATGGATGAACATCATAATGCTCTGCATGCTGTACCAAGTGTACCGATGGGCATCCTTATGTTCGAACATGGTGTTCGTTATGGCCAAACTGCGGCTTGCACAGAAGTCCAATAACGAAACACCACTCGAGTTCAGATCAGGCGGGCCGTTCCTCCCAATCACACCCCTCCAGGTCATGCTGTCATTGCCCACGGGAGCATTGAAGTCCCCCAGCAGGACAATGGAGTCCCCTGATGGAGCACTATCTAGAACAGGGACTCCAAAAAGGGTGGGTACTCTGAACTGATATTTGGCCCATAAGCACAAACAACAGTCAGGACCCGTTCCCCGACCCGAAGGCGCAGGGAAGCTTACCCCCAG